CAGGAATGCATTAAAATGTAAGGGGATGGAGAGATGAAATAGGAAAACCAAAGACAGGCCTGTACCTTTGTTCTAGTTTTTTCATAGTTGAATTAATTTGATTGGTCTTTTCCTCTAACCGACCAATTATTTCATTCTTTTCTTTCATAGCATCTTCAGAAACCTGTATCACAAAGAAGGTTAACACTGAAGTAGGTACACAATTTACTGTTACCTCAAGGGATGGGGTTTTTTCCTTTAATATCTGAAGAGAAAAATGTGTAAATTGGCTTCAGGTTTTGATTCTTTGTAAACATCCCTGTCTAAAAAATGTAGCTGACAGTGCTTAAAATTTTCTGCCTAGCAAATTTGTAGTCTTGTGGTTTGCAAATGCAGATGCTGTTTACTCAGTGTACATTTTTCATCTTGGTTTCCTTTCTTGGTTAATAGTGTTGCAAGTCAACTCATACTCACTGATCATCTTTTTAAGTAGCCCTTGTTACACTGATCAACACTACCAACTGGTTCCTCAACAGCAAAGATCAGGGCAGGGCTAAACTGCTGGACTCTGCCCACAAAGTGAATCTGAATGTTATTAATTCATGTGTTCATCAATTAATGTGTTACCCACAGTCCCCAGAAGTACAGCTTTAAAAAAACCCAAAATCCCACAGATTCTAACACACTGAAGAACATTCTCTTCTTATTTTTATTGCCAGTTCTATTTATATTTTTCTTTCACTGGTCCACTTCCCTCATGGTTGCAGATGGAAAAGCAGCACCCTTGGTCTATCATCACAATTATCTCTATGCAGCATCCTAATTTTTCCTCTCATTCTGACAAAGACTTGAGTGGTTTCTTGGGCTGGTTTTGATAATTTTTTCCGTAAATGACAGTTGCATTCACTGTTTGGTCATTTGTTACCTGCATGTTTGATCTCTGAGATCCATATTCTCCAAAAAAAACACTGAACTGTGAAAGATTTTCTTAATTTGTCCACAGATTATTTAAAAACAAACAACCAAAACCCTCAAAACAAACCCCCCACAACCTTGTCTTCCAAATGCTTTTCCTTCCTTTGGAAGTTCAGATCTTCTCTTTAACTCACCTATGTGCCTAAATTCTTTTGGATTTTTATACAACACAGGCCAAAAAGTGTAATTATCACTAGATAGTTTATTACTCTCCCTGTTCCCCACAGCATGTTATTAGGCATTATCATGCCTTTTTCCTCTATAAGCCTACTAACAGCAAGGGACTGCCTTAAGAACTGCTTTGTGTGAGAACATGCTTGCATCAGTAATGTTCTAAAACAACACCCTGATCTAAGAAGTGGGAAGAAACCAAAAATTAAGGAAATGGCAGCATTTAACTAAACAAAATGGTAATGCATCTCTCTCACCCCAGTCTAAGTTGTTTCAGCAGTTTGACAGCTGTTAAACTGTTCCTTTACCTGCAGCTTTTGATACATTTCCATGTTAATTGCTTTAACTTCATCAAGCTGCTGTCGAAGGCCTATGAGGGTATCCTGCTTCTCATGGATGTCCTTCTCCAGCAACTTCATAGCAAGCTCTATCTCATGTTTCATACTAACTTGAACCACTAGTTCATTCTCCATATCCTGTAAAACACAATGCAACACAGAATCCTAAAATAATCATGCAGCATTTCATCTCTGTTTTGAAAAAGAAAAAAGGTAACTTCAAGAGAGCTGCAGCATCACCTGAAGTGATGAAACTCTGCCCCTCTAACTTTGCAAATTGTCCACTACATAAACATGACACTCATGCACTTTGTGATAGATGCCTTTTTTAACCTGGTGAAAAGACAACTCACTTTTATAAGAAATTACCCTGCCAGTGTTGCATAACAAGTTGCCCAAGCATTAATTACAAAAAGAAAGCTAAAAGATACCTGTTGTCACAAGAAAGGTTTACCATGCATCCACAGCATCCAGTATTGCTAACAGCTTACCTGAAAATTTACCAAAGAAAATGTATGTTCTTTACTAGGCTTAGCAAGATTGTTACGGGAACACTGATGGTCTGTCAAAAACCTCTTTTTATTACAGGTGGTTAGAGAAAAGGTGATTAAAGGCAGCACGTCAAAAGCAAAACTAGAAATATTTATGTACTGACACTTCTCAAGCACAATCCTTTCTAGAAGTGTGTGATTCCAGCAAAGAACACTCACTTGTCTAAGTTGTGACTCCTCCCGAAGCTGCCTGCGGGCTTCATTGTACATTTCATCCAGGCCCTGCCTGGAGTGCTTGTATGTCTGCAGTTCTGCTTCAACATCCACTTTAGTTGCCTACAAACATATAAATAATTTACCTTTCTCCAACACAAGCTTAGCAGTTAGTAGCATAAGTTTAAACACTTGTGGGGAACAAAACCCAGCAACTTCCAAATACATCCTCCAAGCACAGCACCAAGAGGCAAAGAGCTGCTCCTGCTACGTTGGCATCAGTTTGATGAGGATTGAGTAAATCTAGCAAAATAAATATCTGCATTGCAGTGCCTCCTTCAGGAAGGGACTCTAACACACAACTCTTTCAGCACTGAGCAATCCAAACACCTGCTTTACCTGTGCTTTTATCAATGATCTGTACAACACATACAGGAAGTTACACAAGGAGCTACAAAGCACACCTTTAAAAAAGAGTTCAGGAGTTCTATCCACAATTACTCCAATGACATTTCACATACTGAGACAGTCAGAACAGACAGTTTGCCAAGTCAAACACACACTAGTTTGACACAATCTTCAGGTAACAGTGCCTTAAATGCTCTGAGATCATGCTTACAGTTTAATTTTTAAAAAAGAAGGGCAGGAAAAAAGAAATGGCGTATGTTTAGAAAACAACCAAGTGTCTTATAATTTCTATATATTTATGTGATTATGAAGTTTCCCTTACGTGACAGGTACTTATCCCTAATAAAAGTTGTTTTAGGTTTGGCCCAGGAACATTCAAATTACAATGAAGCACATGACACTGCTACATTAAATATGGCAAAATTGTATACCTCTAGATGATGCTGTGTTTTCATTAAAATAAGAGTATTTTCACTCCTTAATTGATGGTTTTCTTCCTGAAGTTTAATTATATTGTTTTTGGCAATCGCTAACTGGAAAAAAAAAAAAAAAGAAAATAAAACAAACAGCAGTATGATTACTTTTGTGAGTGGAAATAAAGAAAAAACATTCCAATGAATGCAATTCCAAGACACTGTCTGCCCTGTTCTCACAGTCCACCCAAGAGAGGTTTAACTGTTTTTAAAGAAAACATAAAGCTCCTGGGTTTAGTAGTGAGTCACTCTCATTATACAACAGCATGTGTGCTCAAGATAGTTTATTACTGTATATCTAGTAAAAAATATGCTTTCTTTTCATTGCTTCATCATGATTTCAAGATCCTCAACTCCCTTTCCTCATCCAGAATCTTTTATTTCCATTTGGATTAACATTTATCCACTTTTCTTCTTTTTTGGACATCTTAATATGATAAAATGGAACAATTTACATAAGGAGAATTCTCCCAGATAAGAAGAAAACATATTTACAAAATAGAAAACATTACAGCTTGGCACTACTGGATATACCTTAATGTCAGAATTACAAGCCAGCTGATCAAAACAGGTGGGCAGGGGGGCTGAAGGCTTTTAAAGGAACCAGAACACTCTGAGAATTAACTCTCAGAATAATGTTTTCCCCTCTGTCTGGTTCCTTAACACCCAGAGTGAAACAGCTATCCCTTCATCAGCTGAATTTAGACATTTCATTAACTGTTTCTCAAGTAGCTCTGATTTTAAAAAATTGTGCTCTCTCTTATAAAGCTAAATATATTGGAACCTAGTCAAGATAACTGAAAATACAGGATATGTATATAAAACCAGAGCTACAAAAGTCTAAAAAAATATATAAGCATATGATAAATAAGCAAGAAACAATCTTTTGACTAAAGCTGAGAAGAGTAACAAAAATTGCTTGGTGAACTACTTTCTTTGTAGAACTCTGATTCTGTGATTCTGGTGTCTTGCATTATGGACTACTCATCTGCACAAAAACAGGCTGACAGCTGGCAGAAAGACAGGCTTCTCTTCTGCTTTGGTCCAAAGTGGGAAATGACAATGTTCTTCAGAATGCATGCACTGATGCTGCAGGCTACCTTGGCAAGCTGACTTCAAATCCCTGCAGCTACTGCCCCTCCTCTTCTCGCCCAAATAAAGGTATTTGAACATCTTATACAGAACTTATATAGATTAAAATCATACCAGCATGCTTAGAAAAACAGTACATTTGAGAGTAAATCATATCTGTTATACATTACTGAAATTAAGTAATTATACCTCTTCAATCAGTTTGGTGTTTGATTTCTCTAGTGAATCAACTCTTGCATGTAGACTGCTAACTGTGCTACTGAAAGAGAAAAAGAAAAACACATCACTCAAAATCACATCAAAACTCATTCAACCAAGCTCAAAAGCTTTAATGCAAGGCACAACGGTTAATGGTTAAGCCTCAAAGGTCTGCTCCCATTATTTGAGGTTTTCCTAGATCTTGGAAATTAAGTTTCTTTTGCTGAACACTTATACACCCCTTTTGCACGCCCAGTGCCATCCCTGTCACCCAAACTCCTGGTTGGGTATCACTTTATGTATTTTCTCCCTTTCCTTTTTCCTCACAGCTATACAGTATCCAAACAATTAACGAGTCCCCTTAAAAGACAATTTACGAACTAGCTGGGATTTTTTCCCCATATAACAAAACACTTATTCAGGTTCTCTTCCCCCAAAATCCATCTCTTTTATAAATCTATTTGCTTCTCCACATTTTTTGAGCTTTATCCTCAGGCAACCTCTTTCTTGATGCTTCTTGACTTCATTTCTAAGGCTCATCAGAATTTTATTCCCTTTTATTACTCTGTTTTTTTATAATAACCAACTATATCCAGGCCTTCTCCATTACCTGACTGCCCTTTTCTGCTATAAGCAGATCTTTTAGGCTACACTTCACACATCAGAAAAAAATAACTAACAAAACCCAAAACTATCTGTAACACTGTTTACTTTTCCACATACTTCTCCTGTGGTGCCCTCAGAAACTACCAGTTCATTATGGATGGCAAGGCAAGGAAATCAATGTATTTTAGGAAGGAACAGCTGACCTGAAATTAAATAGGAGAGCTGTTGAACCACTGATTTGCCAGTAAGTCCATGCACAAACCAGTGTACAAGAACATACTCAGTACCCGGGGGCTCACCTGAATAGTAACAGCTACCACCACACAAACATCACTACTTCTAAATGTGACAGTTCCTTTCTCCTCCTTAACTTACTTCTATGCTGCTCACACTTGAAGTAGTACTCAGCTATTCTGTCCTGTCAAACCTACAATGTATAAGCAGTTTCCAGCAAGCAATTAACCTGTTCAGATTTGGTTCTAGGCTACAAACTAGGATGTTATGAAAGGCAAAGAAACAAAAATGTGTGGATTCACCAAAATCACTCAATCATACTTCTTGAAAACTGTTGAATGCAGTTAAAATCCAGATCAAGCTTTTCATTCCTGTGAAGTTATGAATTGTGAGGACCTTGATCTGTTTTGACCTGGTTTTCATTTCTTTGATGAATAAAGGTTCTGACTGTAAAAAACAAAAGCATGAAAACTGAGACTTCCTCAGTCTGCCCAGATGAGTGCATCCTTTACAACTTAACAACATCCTCAGTCTAAAGATAAGCAATTTGCATGCTTTCCTCTGAAGTTCTCTCTCACAAAGCTGTGGTAGAAAAGGAATTGGAGGCAGTTTACCCCTGAGTCTGGACTGACGTGTGTACTTCAAAGTAATACTTACTTCAGTTGTCTGTTCAGTTCTTCCACATAATTCTTTTGGTCCAAAATTTCAGCAATCTGTACATTTCTAAAGCAAGCACATAATAAAATTAGCTTTAACAAAATGAGGTAGTGAACCGTGTATTGAAAATATTATATATATACATGTCAATCATATGCAAATGTACATCTTAATTGTGCTTTTTAAAAAGAAAAGCAGAAACTTCATCTCACAGTCACAAAGTCAGTAACTTACATGTTGTGACATCAGTGTGAGACAAAAAACCCCAATGATTCAACTGCAAACAATTTCTCTACATGGAACATAAGAACATCTCCAGTGTCACAAGAAAAAGGATGTTTATTTACTCTGCTGTATCTCCCATTCTTTGAAACACTGACTAAATCCCAAGTAGAAGACTTAAAGACTAGCAGGTTCTTTCTCCATCAGGTAAAGGAAGTAGGTGATGATGTTGAGGCTTGCTTCAGAGCACAAATACTCTTCCAGCTAACTAGCAATACCGAACAACATGGCATCACACCTCTCTCAAGACAGTGAAATCAGAAGAGTTCACCTTTAGGAAACCTGACTTACTTGTAAAAGGAACAGGGCACCAGTCAAGAAATCATTAGTTAACATGCAAAATCTCAGGTATTTGGTGACAACGTACCTTTCCTTTCCCCCAATCTCATCATCACTCTTCAAATACATAGAGAAATCGATCACCCCAACCTAGAGGAAAGCAAATGTACAGTTTCCTATCATACAAGTAACTGCTGTTGATACTCACAGTCCTGTATCTACATCAATACTAGAACCTCAGCTACATCAGCTTTTTAAGATTGGTCCAGTTTCAGAGAGAATCTCAAGAAACTAACCTGTAACATTTTAAACATTTTTTTTTATGTTTAGTCACATGTATTTGTTAAGAATTATGTTGCCTTGGAACAAAATTAGCAACATTCCATGTACCAAATCCAAAGAAAAGATGTTTTACCTCTGACTGAGCTTAGCCAAGAATTTATAGGAAGACTTTCATTTGGAGAATGTTCAGATGCTATGCAACACTATCACTGATTGAATGGACTTGTGATGATTTGCCTGTAATGTTTCATGTGATTTCCTACCACAGCACATCTCCCAAACTGATGTTTCCCCCACGTTTAGCTTTTCACTGTTCCTTGCCAAATACTGCTGCCTTTCCACACTTGCTGATTCCCAGACGTGCCAATTCAACTGCTGTGGCATTCAGAATTTACAGTGTTTGTCTCGAACAATCCAAGAGATAAGTGCAAGATATCTGGTGTGTGTCTTGTGACATCTGAGAAAGAACATCTGTTGATAGACTCTTAGGGAGCAGGATGCTCCCCTGCAATAAATTAAACCTGTGGGGTCAGTTGTCTCATCCTCCCCTTCGTTATGCAGAGATCTCAGCAATTATCCCAAAAAGGACTATCTGCAGGCCTTGACTCGGGGGCATACTATGTCCCCCCCCTTCCTATCTCAGAGGAGCACTGAGAAGATAGGAGTTTTTCCTTACTCCGGAAAGAAAAGTGGGAGGGGCAGTGGGCAAGAACTGTATAAAAGTCTGGGACTCTATGGGTGCATTGGAAGTACTTTTCCACCAGGAACCACTTCCCCACCGACGACATCGCTGCACCGTGGGTGCTAACTATGCTCTCTCGCTTGCTGTCCTCTATCTCTCTGCTTTCTCCTCTCTTTTCTGTCTCTGTTTTCCTGCCTGTCCTATCCGCTCTAGGGACTTTTGCTTTGTTACTCTAATAAAAGTTTGTTGTGCATGTGACATCTGACCTCGTTTGCGTCTTAATTTCACCAGTTGGGATCACCTTTATGAAAAATTGCCACGTGTCCGAATACCGGATCGTGACAACTGCATTCATTTAAAAAAAATAATCTTCTAAATCTGAATCTAATCAATGTATTTTCTCTTCAATTGTAATTTAATGATAATACTACAACTAACGTTACCATGAGTTCTGCTTCCAGCTCTATTGATTAAACTCTTAACAGAAGTATTTAACCACATTTGCTTTACCAAAACCCTTTATTTTTGGGTCTCTAGCAGCCTCTTCACAGAAGTATTTCTATTTCTCTGATCTACTGCTTCCTTCTTGAGCCCCTTTCAGCTTTTGAATACAACTAACTTTCTAAGCCTACCATTTCCTTAGTTTGTACACTGCTCCCCTGTCAACTTTCCTACTACAATCTTCCACTTGTTCTTTCCATATCCTTTCTAGAAAGTCTCTCCTCAAAAAGCATTTTTTAAAAACATACTTTGCTTACTAAAGCAAAATGCTATTTCTATTTTAAAATAAAATGCTACCTCTATAAAAGTTACTTTGTTTTCATTCTCCCTTTGTGCATACACACATTTTACCACTCTTTTTCTAACATCCCAAAACTATGCTCCTGGATGTGACTTCCCTCATCCTTCATCAGTTTCTGCTCAAAAGAACTCGCTGCTTCTGGCTTTCCTGAGAAGGTCCCTTCTTTACACTACTTTTCTCAAACAGAATTACTCTAAAATCTCATCTGGACAGCCACTGCTACCTTCTCAAATCAAGTTTTATGTTCCCTCAAACAGCAAAGCCACCAAGTGACCTAGATAACAAAGGTGTAGCTAGCAATAGATTTTGTGCTTTATAATGCACACACATTTCTCAAAACTAAGAAAAGCACATTGGTAAGTTTTCTGTAATTACAGGCTTTCCAATATTACATCTTCTGGTGCACAAGATGAATGCCTGAAATACTAGATAGTAAATAGAATTAAAAAGTCAAAGACAAATTAACCCTACAATTCACATTCTTTGCCATAGAAATTGCTTTTTCATCAAACAGATGCTGAAATACAGTAGATAATCACTTAAATGGTTAAATTTTTTTTTCCAGAAAGAAGCTGCACAAAACCAATCAGGGTTGAACACAGCCTACCTTGATTTATAAATACTTGTTCATCTGCCTTTAGAAAGAATCAGTCAAGATTTTCTCAGTAAAAGATCAAAGTTCAAAGTCAAAGCACTTTGCAAAGGAGGAAGAAATTCTAAGTCTTGTTTTGTGGATTGACAGCAGTGACTCTCTTGTGAGTTGTTTTACTACACTATGTAAAGCAAGTTCTTCTGTCAGGTCCTTCATATATTCCTATTATGTTCCAGAACAGCAATAAATTAACCGAATGGGATAAACTGAACATGGAACTATTCTTCTTCTGTAAAGGGAAAGATGAAGTTACGCAATTAAGGAAAGAACTCTGCATTACTACTATTGCATCCATTTGACAACAAAGCATTTGCCCTTGCTGTCTGACAATTATCAACATCTACAGGTCTGACCCAATAGATACTGAGGTTAATGCAACAGCCCCCACTGATCCAACGAGCTGGATCACACCCTAAACAATCTCTAGTAAGATTTCTAACAAGTCACAACTCCATAGTAACAAAATTCACAGTACATAAGAATCTTATGGATTGTATGTACATGAGTTTACCTGTATTGACTTACTTGTGAATCTAGGTCTTCTCCCTTCACACACAGGTTAGCATCTATCACATTTAACCCGACCAACAGCCCAACAATAACTGCTCCTTCTTCCTCCATCATTAATGCATGATACTCATAAAATTCACTGTTACAGAAGAAAATTGCATCTTATTGGTATATTCAGTATCCTGACATGCAATAAATTAATAATAAATGACATCTAAATCTGAACTGTTTCTCTGATTTTAGCCTTAGCTCCAACAGCCTTAAAGACAAACTGGGTCAGCCCACACTTTCACCCCATAAATATTTCAAAATTGAAAGTGCATAGTTTGTCTCAGAGACTATTAAAAACAAAGATACTATCTTTGGCTCCAGAAATGTGAGCCACAAGCTGCTGGAAGACAGGAAAACTGGGGGGAAGGCAAAATTTATTTTGCTTTTTAAAAAAACCAAAACCTGCAATAGGTGGATCTTAGGCCACATTGAGTCAGACAATTCTTATGCTGTTAAGAAACACTACAGAATGCAAAAGAAGAATGGTAGATAATTTACCTTTTGTGAAAAAAGGTCTGGACTTTAATGACCACAAGATTGAAATTAAAGAAGCCAAGCAGGAGATTAAATGGGTAAGAGATGACAAATGGAGAGAAATGGAAAGGGCTGAAATGCTAAAAAGGCTTTTAAAAGAACAAAATACCAACATTTACTTGCTCCTCAATTTTTGTAAATTTCTACAGTTTCAGACTCTATGAAACAAACTGTGCTTTAAATTGAAAAGTTGACAGCTGTTGAACAGCAATGTCATCCTGACATACCAGCATTATCTAGGCATACAAGAGAAGTCTTAAAAATATGTATAGGTTATAGAACTGAAATTAAGATGACAAGCATCTTTTTTCCCCCTTTGTGCTTCAACTGCCTCATCAGAAAGGATAAGCTACACGAGAAGAGAGCAATGCCAGTTCTAGAACTGTGAAAGGAAAGTTCAAGCCAACCGTCCTCCATGCTCAGAAGGAAACCATGCGTATAGTGGGAGTGAATTCATCTCCTCTCCAGAGGTTTCCATATCCTGCATGGCAGAGGAATGAAGCAGGAACCCTTCCTCATCACCCTCGCCTACAAAAGAGCAGCCAAGATCGTTGAAGAGGGCCATGATGGGGAGGGAATATCTCTTGAGCTGTCACTGGCCCCCAGCCTCGACGGGGCGGCCGCATTTGGCCCCTCTGCCCTCACGACTAGAAGAGAGCAGCCCTGAACCTACACCCTGAAGCTACATCCTCATTTTTTTTTCTTTCAGGAGACTAAATCTCTAAAAAACAGTAAACCAAATCTACTGAATTGTTTACCTGAGAAGATCCCTCTGGAGGATTAAGCAGCGCAGATAATCAGCCATTTTCTTCTGCATGAGCGCCAACCGCAACCAGGCCCGGGCACGGCCCAGCGGGGTCCTGAAGACAGACACAGACAGTCCCAAATCAGCAATGGATTCACTCATTTGTGCTTTGTTCTCACACAGTACATGCCTAGCAGCATGGAAAGAAGCTTTAGGAGTGGTGCTGTTTTACTCAAAGTACCTTTTGAACCTGACAGTGCCCATAAAGATAACCCTCAAAATTCTGTTTCTACCTGAAGTAAAATTGCAACAACTTAGACTCCTACCTGCTACTTGCTTATAAGGTCTTCAGAGCAATTGTGAGAAAGGTAACCAAATGTCCCTTACAACTCATCACAGCTTCCCAAGCCTGTTCTCTGGGCCTACACAACACGTGTAGGCCACAACACCTGACTTCTAGCCTGAACTCACACTTGTTTACTAATTCAGTGGCATCTTTGAAAGACAATTCAAAAAACATGAAAATGTATGTAACTAGCAATATCCAACAAATTAAAACTGGAGCTTTAGATCCTCCTCTTCTAAAGCTTGCACACTTAGAAGTGGTAAGCACATAAATGCAAAAAAAAAACAACCACAAAAAACCAAAACAAAACACCAAAACCCACATGTTAATCAGGATAAAGAGAGAAATACGCTTGGCAAAGGGTAATTTATATATCTACATGCTTTAGATAAAGCTATAAATTACATCCCTTATGCTGCCATATACCAATCACAAGGTAACCAAATCCTTTTGGAATTTAATGTACAGCCAACTAATTATAAAGTTAAATACAAAAGCAGAGAGCAGACCAATGGGAGGAGCATGAATTTACATCTGAGAAGGATACTACACACAAGAATCCGAAGAACTGCCAACTACTTCCCTCTTCAGTATGTTACCTTCTGTCTTCATACAGCTTTTGCTGACTAGACTCATGTTTGCTGCAGTTCTAGACTGCAGAGTGATGCACAACCTGCTCCTTTTTGCACTGTTTTTGTCCATCATTCAGAAAACTTTTTCCCCAGGAATGTCAGAACATAAAAATAGTCCTTTTTTAGATGTTTTGTGCAGAACATGAAGAGCTAGCACGACTCATCCGTGGTCTCCCCCGTATCATGTGCTAGCTGTTCAAAGGCTTGATTAATGCCAAATGAAACCATGAGACATCTGTAGATTCCCAATCATGTCCTTTATTTTGGTCCTTTATTTGCTGTATTTTACCATTACTACTTACTTAAGGCCAGGCAAATCTCTGACACTTGCTGCTATTTCCTCAGCTTCTGGATATAATTTCTCCACAAGTTCCAGAGGACCCCAGATGGTTTTATTGTAACTTAGAAAGGATTTTCTTACTGGAAAAAGAAAAATGAAGTAACTGAATTAAATTACTGGAGTAGCTTCCTTCAAAATAGGCTTTGTGACAAAAGGGTTAAGTTCTGAGCCTAGACTTCCAGATAACAGAGAACTCCAGCACTGGTCAGTTCACCAGTATCCATCCAAAGCCATCTCCCAAATTAATTTGCTGTGAACATAAAATTGCTGTGCTACAACAAAATAACTACATATAAAGTATGACTAGCTAAAACTCTAAGCTACATATAGATACATGCAGCTGTAGAAATCACTGGACCATTTAAAACAAATTATATACAAAACAAAGTTGGTAAATGTGGAAATATATATTGTGAAGTATTAATAATAACACAATTATAAAAGGTAACAATTTTCCTATTTTCTTTGCTCCTTGAGGCAACATTAACACACTTTGATTTTAGCAGATTCAAGAAAGAAAGGAAGAAAAAGGGCATGTTTGGGATGAGAAACAGGCAGCTAGAGCAATTACTACACCTTTAAGGCCATGCTTCAGGCAGTGTTCCATGACAACAAAGAACTGCTGCAAAGGTGGGTAATCAGAATCCAGAGTGCGGCCAAAGCTCAGAGCTGATTCAATGAGTCCTTTGATACTCAGTTTAGCCATGTTCAGTAAATTAGCTCTTTCTACAGCTGTGGGGTCCTTTACAGCTAAGACAATAAAGAACAAAAAAAATACATGTTACAGTTCAAGTTTTAGATGAGACACAAAATAATAAAATGCTTTATGGCTGCCCTTGTTCAAAGGAAAACTTCATCTAGATAAATTCAAAGGAATAATTTAGTAAGTGCTATGGAAAGCATCCACTTCAAACAACATTCTTACAGGTCTTGCATGGTTTTAACAGATGAAGTGACAAGGCTGCACATGCCAGTTCTCAGACACTGTGCTGCCTCAAAGACAACCTCAGAAGCAGTCAGTAACTGGAAATTACCTCAGACATCAATATGCACTCGAAAGCTCTCCTGCATAACAGCAATGAGCACCCTTACCAGGATCTCAAAGCAGCATTCCTATCATTAAGCAGAACAGGCTGCCCAGGGAGGTGGTGGAGGCACCATCCCTGGAAGTGTTTAAAAGAAATGCAGATATAGCGCTTAGTGACATGATTTAAGCAGTGAACAGGTAATTAGGTTACAGTAGGGGGATTTAGGTTATGGTTGGACTGGATGATCTTCAAGTTCCCTTCCAACCAGGATGATTCTATGATTCTATAATAAAGTAGGTATCTATTTAGTGTATTACAGTCTACCTACAAAAACAGGCATCATACTTTAAAATGATCACTTTACTCTGTAGTATTTATTTCACAGTTTCATGAACACATGCTTTCCTTCTTAGTCTGTACATACTCTCAGCCAGGTGCAGTTTCAGGAAAATATTATGTATTTCATACTGAAATGTCAGTTTCCTATATAGCCACAAAATATGTTCTACACAGGAAAGCTTAAGAACTAAAGATTTTGCTTTAACTTAAACATGTTTTTTTTGAAACTTGTATGGTGTACAAATGTGCATACAAAAACACAAATGAGGATTAAATCTGGTCAATAAAAAATCCACAGCTTTTGAGAATCATATTTATCTGACAAAAGAGACGAGGCTGCTCTTCTCAGAGCTCCTGCTACTAAAATCACAGCTTCAGGAGATTCTTAGATTATTTTCATCTGTAATGAAGCATTCAGGCCACCCTCTATTTTGCCAAACTGAAACAGAGACAAAAACAACCCTCTCTTTATTCAGCATGATCAAAGTAACTTGGAAAGAAGGAAAAAAATATATTATTTACTGTTTCTCTTTTCTGCAATTAAATAAAAAAAAACAACGTAAAAAACCCTAACAATTTAAAACCACAGATCACATTTTTCAAGACACTGAGACACAGATGTCAAAATATCTATTCAGATCTGTGTCTGAGAAAAAATGTGAGCCCCTTCATTTGCAAATTTGAGAACTGGTACATGACCTTATCTCTTTGCACACCAGAAAGCATAAAGACCTGTACACATTTAAAACCAACACACACCACTATAACAGACGAGTATTTTCTCATTTCCTCAAACAGCAATGACATGACTTGCCTCGTTTCTTGCATACCAAATGCTGTAATTTGCTGTATTCGTAACTGCTCATCAAATACCAAATTACTCTATAATGATACATGACCTATCTCAGTTTTCTAATAACTAAATAAATAACTCTCCTCCACCTCTACTCTGGCTTAGGCCACATCTGGAGTATTGTGTCCAGTTTTGGGCTCCCCAGTTCTAAAGGGACGAGGATTAACTTAAGAGACTCCGATGGAGACTACAAGGTTGATTACGGGACTGGAACACCTGCCTTATGAGGAAAGGCTGAGACACCTGGGGCTGTTTAGTCTGGGGAAGAGAAGACTGCGAAGAGAACTTATTAGTGTAAGCAAATATCTAAAGGGTGGGTGTCAAGAAGGAAGGGCCAATCTCTTTTTAGTTGTGCCCTGTGATAGGACAAGGGGCAATGGATGCAAACTAGAGCAGAAGAAGTTCCACCTCAACATGTGGAAGAGCTTCTTTCCTGTGAGGGTGACAGAGCCCTGGGGCAGGCTGCCCAGGGAGGCTGTGGAGGCTCCTTCTCTGGAGACTTTCCAGACCTGTCTGGAGGCCTTTCTGAGTGACCTGCTCTGGCAGGAGGGTTGGACTCCATGATCTCCAGAGGTCCCTTCCAACCCCTACCATCCTGTGATACTGAGATGATGTACCAAGAGCAGCATCAGTACCCCGTCTGGAACAGATGAAGGCTTGCAACAACAGGAGCATTTCTGTTGGGAAAGTTCACATCAGGCTTCCTACTTTTTTTTTTTTTATTTGCTATTGACAACACTGAATACAAAAGTTATTGGAGAGAAAGCCTTTTTCAATTCAGACTGCAGGCAGATAGCTCTGCCTTGCCACGTATTCAACCTTGTTTCCCCAAAGGCATCTTACAAATCCCTTTTTCAGGTGACCTCGTTTTGACTTTTGGAGCAGATCCTTCCCACAGGCAGACATCTACTGTCCTTTTCATTACCAACCCTCTCACCTAGTACTTTGAAGCAGCAATGCACTTTAGGTCTGCTTCAAAGCTTGGCCCACCTGAATAGACATATTTTTCTTCAACTGCTTCTTCAAAAAGACCAAGATTCGGGTGTTTACCCGGCAGGTTAGGGACCGTATGGGCTTGGCTGTGCATGTGCGGGGGAAAAGGAGCAGCCCAGGGCTCTGCAGGGCCCGTGTCACCCCGCAGCAGCCCCCGGACGGATCACCGGCGGGTGGCCCTGATGTCGCCGGGCTCAGCACAGAGAAACAGCACCCACCTCCCGAACCCTTGCCGCAAAAACACCATTTGGTGCAAAAAAAAACCCCAACGCACCCAAACGCGCAGCACCTACGGCTACAGACCGAGCGCGGCCCTCCCGCCTCACCCGGGAAGCACCAGAGAAAACGGGCACTTTCCTCCAGAAACCCCTTCCAGCCTCCGCACCACGCGCTCCCCGGGTACCGCACCTGCTGTCCGGGCCGCTCCTCCC